ATACATATACATATACATATACATATACATATACATATACATATACATATACATAGATAGATAGGAGATAGATACTGTAGATACAGGTATGATATAGACATAGACATAGATACAAGTATAGATATTTACTGAAATGTAGCAAGATACATTGAAATAGAATATTTTTGCCATTAGGATGGAAATGGAGTAGACATGCAGATGTCTTAAGCCTCTGCAAATGTGTGTTGTGTTCAAGTAACTGCTTAGGATCTTTCGGTGTGGAGGATGGCAACTTTGGTCCCTCCCAAAAAGTTTGAATTATAAAAGCCATAAACCCCAATCTGTGTCATGGTCAGGGATGATCTGAATTTTAGCCCAAAGCATTGGGGATTGATTGATTGATTGATTTGATTTGATTTCTATCCCACCACAGGAGGGTTAATTTTCCCCACAGGAAACATATTGTGAGTAAGTGGGGTGAGGGCAAATGACCCACCCAAAGTCATGCAGCGAAGGGGAACTTAACGTGGGTCTTCCTACTCCCTCACTACTCTGCCTCACCAGCCTTATCTTGGAAAGCATCTGTTTTACCCTGATGTATCTCCCTGCACATTTCTGAGTTTTTAAAAGCTTGAAAAACATTTTCTTTAACAATAAGCACAAAAGAAAAGGCTCTTGAATACTACCATGATATGCTGAAAGAGAGAGAGCCTATATAAGCAGCCACAAGCCCCAAATAAAAAATCTGCAATGCTCTTAATAAAAACACAAGACACAGCATTTGCCTTACACTCAAAGCATGAGACAGAACGTTCTCTTTATCTAACGCCAGTTGAAACAATTAAACATGAATGACAAGCTTTCGTTTGGCATCTCTGATAAAGAGCAGCAAAGGAGGATGAAATTGTTGAACATTTGGAAAATAAGTACTTATTTAACAAGATCAGGCAAACAGATTTGTTTGTCCTTATTCTAGCAGAGAGTGATCTGCATTGTCAGGCCTACCGTTAAAATGAAATTTCGATTTTAAACACATGCATGAGCACGCACGCACACGCACGCGCGCACACAGAGTGTTATTTACTGCCTTATGAATTCCTGGATGAAGTAGGGATACAATTATAATTTTTATTTTTATTATGATTGTTATTGTTATTACTGTTATAGTATATGTGTGTGTGTATTAATATGCAATACTACTTCATCATAATATCATTATATTATTACTGTTGTTGCTATAATTATGTGGTAATTATATCTGCCTGCCTGAAAGTCATTTGCAAATATAGTTTTATGAATTTAATAGTTGCATTATGGACTGTTAAAGAATATCAGCTTTCCAAGAAACAACTAACTCTTCAGAAATCAAGAATTACATACCTGTAGGTGTTGGCAACAGAAAGGGGGAAAACAGGGTCTTTTAAAATCAGAAAGCTCAGTTTAAGGTTCTGAGTCTTCCAACAACTGAATGTTTTTTTCATTGCTTCTTTCATAGCTTCCTCAAGCCATCCAATGTGATTCTATTCAAATATATTGTAATTATTCTTCCAAGGGAGTATTCATCGTCTTACATCCTTCAGGAAACAAGCAACTTCTATTGTGAAAATTATTGAGACAAGCTGAAACTTTTTCAAACCAGAATCAGGGAGAAAAATCTATGCTACAGATTTACAGATGGGTGACGAGTATTGATCTAATTTTTAAAAATTTAGACTCTAATTCTAGGGTCACTTGCACACACCCACAAAAAGAAAATAAGAAATAGACTTAGTCTATTTTTCCAATCTTAATTATCTATAATCAACATAATTAAATTTGTATGTAACAATAGAGGAAGGGAGAAAAAACTGTCTATTTATTTTGAAAAATTCAAACTGGGCCAATCTTCTTGTCATTCTCCCTGCAGCAACCAAGTCTTTCATATATCCAGGGAGATGTTCTGAGCTATTTCCACTTCAGGGAATTTGGTTCTCAGTCCAAGATTTTAATTAAGAAGTAATTTCAAAAGTGAGTAGTTCAGAATGTAAATCATACCATTTTATTTCTGCAGGGCTTTTTTAAAATTTTCTGGTTTTCTTATTTTAAAGAGAACTTCCTACCTACGTGCTGAGCATGATCTTTGTTAGCCATTCTGAGCTTAAGTTCAGTAGTAATTCTACATTCCTTAATGTGACATATATCATATAACTAATCATTCATAATTCATGAATGATATTTTAGAAAGCTATAGCTTTCACGACATTTTAAAATCCCTGATTTATTTATCTGTATTACATTCTTGTACTGTTTTTTCATGTTCCCCCTTTCCTTGTTTATACATTTTCTTCAAGGTGTTAAAAAAAATTTTTTAAAAAAGAAGCTCTTCCTTTCTTCCGTCTGTGCTACTCAACTGCCGCAACATCTAAGGGGGAACAACAGGATCCAATTTCTTTTTTTAAAAAGAGCAGTGATACAGACAGTCCTCAGATTATGACCATTTGTTCAGTGACTGTTCAATGTTACAATGGCGATGAACAAATGGTACTTATGAGAGCTGCTCATAGTTCCAGCTGTCGCAGCATCCCCACGATTATGTGACTGCAATCTG